GAAATACCCTCCTCTTGCTCTGGAACATGGTTGGCTCTGCAGCTGAGGCTCCAAAACAGTAGCTGTGAGAGCTGCACTATAAGGAGCTACACTTACATCGTTGCAAGAATTTATGGTGGGTTGTATTGAAATGGGTTGTTTCTGAAATGGTCATGAGACATTTATTTCAATAATGACTTAAAAGTTATGCATTAATTTGAGCCCTATAGAATGTCTCTATAGTCTGCAAATTTGGAGGGGTAGATAGTAAACATTTTAGGCTTTGTGGACCAAGAGGCAAGATCAAGGATGGTATGTAGGCAAGAAAGAAATTTCCATACATTTTTAATGATGAAAATCAAAATATAACAATTGAGTAATTCTTTTTTTTTTTTTTTTTGTAGTACAGGCCTACTACTGAGACTAGAAATCTTTTCTGGGTGTAGGGGGATAACTATTTTGTTTAAAGTTAGTATTCCCTATCCTTAAAATGGACCTTACCAACATAATCCAATGGGAACAAATCATCTTTCAACAATTGATGGTGGGACACTTAGATGCAAAAGAATATAGTTGGACCCCTACCCCACCATATAGAAAAATAAACTCAAAGTGGATTAAAGACATAAGGCAAGAACTAAAATGATAAAATTCTTAGAAGAAAATTTAGGCATAAGTCTTTGTGACTTTGGATAGGCAATGATTTCATAGATATGACACCAAAATAACAAACAAGAAAAGAAAAAAATGTATAAATTGGACATCATCAAAATTAAAAACTTTTGTGGACCAAAGGCCACCATCCAGAAAGTAAAAAGACAATCCACAGAATGGGAGAGAAATCTTGCAAATCATATATCTGATAATGTACTATCTAGAACACATAAAGAACTACCAACTACTCAATAATAAAAAGACAAACCAAAAAAAAAAAGTGGGCAAAGTATCTGAACAGACATTTCTCCCAAGAAGATACACAGATGGCAAAAGAAACACATGAAAAGATACTCATCCTCATTAACCATCAAAGAAATGTAAATCAAAACCATAAGGAGATACCACTTCACACCCATTAGGATGGCTAGAATAAAAAAGAGATTAAAAATGTTGACAAGGATGTAGGAAAATTGGAACCCTCATGCACTACTAGTGGGAGTACAAAATAGCCCAGCCTCTTTGGAAAATAATCTGGCATTTACTAAAAAGGTTAAGTATAGAGTTCCTCTATGACTCAGCAATGCCATTCCCAAGTATATACCCAGGAGAAATAAAAACACACATCTATATAATAACTTGTACACAAAATGTTTATAGCATTATGCACAATAGTCAAAAAATGGAAACAAACCAATGGTCATCAACTGACAAATGGCTAAATACGTGTAGTAGTGTCAGACAATGGAATATAATCTGGTAATGAAAAGAAATGAAACACTGAGAAATACCACTACATGGACGGATCTTGAAAGCATTGTGCTAAGTAAGGAAGCTGGGCACAAAAGACCACAGATCATGTAGTTCTGTTTATATGTAATGTTCAGAATCGGGCTTGGAGGGTTGGAGCAAGTGGGACTTCTGGCTATGGAGTTTCTTCTTGGGTGATGAAGATGTTCTAAAATGGATTGTGCTAATGGCTGTGCAACTCTGTAAATATAAAAAAGCATCAGGTTGGACACTTTAAATGGGTGAAGTGCATGGTGTGTGAATTCTATCTCAACAAAGTCACAAAAAATCTGCCAATGCTTATCTGTTAATAATAAGACAGATCTGCTGATCTGTAATGACATTTTGAATATTTCATCTTTGAAAATGTGCTTTCACACGGATAGGCATTGTTAAATTCTGATACTAGTTTTTGAGCATATGAGCAGAATTGAGCATACTCACTGCTTGCAAGTCATTTATAGAATTTCATCAGATTATTCTGGGGCGCCTGGGTGGCTCAGTTGGTTTAGCAACCAACTCCTGATTTTGGCTCAGTTCATGATCTCAGGGTCATGAGATCGAGCCCCACATAGGGCTCTGCACTGGGTGTGGAGTCTGCTTAAGATTCTCTCTCTCCCTCTCCTTCTGCCCCCCTCAACTCTCTCTCTCAAAAAAAAAAAAGAATTTCATTATATTGTTCTTTTGATATTTTCCCATTAGTGTATCATTACATTTCAGATTAATCATTTCCAATGAGAGGTCAAGGGGATGCTCCTCCATTGTACTGTTAAATGGATTTTGGAACATGGAAATTTCCATTGCACTTGCATTGAGATCCAAAAAATCCTGCTAGAACTGAAGTTTGTGCTCAGACTCTGTGTCTGCAGGAAATATTTATGGGAATGGAGATGGCACTTTCCATTTTAAATTTTGACAGCACAGCATGTCAAAATTGAATTTTCAGCTGAATTTATTAAGAAATATTTATTAAGTTTGCAGCAAAAGCTAATTTCCAAAGCCACCCCATGTTTATTAACAGTAGTTAAACACAGGTCTCACTCAGGAAAATTCCATTCTCAGCCTTGACTTTTAAAAATGGCAATAAAACTTTTACTACTGCTAAGTCATTGAGCTGCTGCAGAGCAGAGCAAGTCAGGATAATCAGCTTCTATTTCCAAAAGAGAAAATTCATGGAACTGACGATAGTGAAGTCCACAAGGGCAAATGAAGGTCACTATTCACACTACTTGCTCGATACATCAGGACAGACTCCAGTATTTCCTGTGTGAATATGCGCAGGTGTAAGACACCTTACGTTTTTCACAAGCTTTGTAAATTTGTTCGACTAAGCCTCTTTCTGTGCTTCACATGTTTTATATACCTCACATGTTCAAGTCCATTGGAGCACTTAGTGACTCCACTTTGGGTTATCCTCAATGAGTGTTTTTTTCAATGTCTTTAAGAATATTCTTGCTTGTAGTTATTCACACAGACTATTTACAGAGGCTAATTCTTCCATCATTTTTAAACTCAGCATTGACTCATCAAATAAACACCAACCAAGCAGAATCATTAACATCTGCTGACTCATCAAAAACCAAAGGAAATCACTTAAAATCATCAACCTTATTCTTTAATTGACTACTGATATTGCTCACAGTGTCCTCAACCCTTTGAATGACTGTTCCACTGGAAGGCTTAAGCAAGTCTTTGGACATATTTCTCTGGCTGCTGTGACCATTTAATTTAATTAAATTTAATTAACTTACCATCAGTAAACAGATTTCCTTGCTTAGCTAAAAAATGATCCACTCAGAAACTTACTTTGGCTCCGCAGCCTCATTTTCATATTTTAGTTTTTGTGAAGAAATTACGCTGTGTTGAGATACTCCAGTTTTTATCTTCAGATATTCCCTCCATTATTGCCTTGAGAGCAGGAATGTTGGATCTCCTCTCTTTTTTTTCTTGCTTAGTTTGGCTACAAGTTTATCAATTTTATTGATCTTTTCAAAGAGCCAGCTTTTGGTTTTGTTAATTTTCTTTGATTTCGTGCTTTTAATTTTACTGATTTCTGTTCCAGTTTTTATTATTTTTCTTCTGCAATCCAAGCTTATATTACTCTCTTTCTCTGGTTTCCTTAGGTAAAACTTTAGATTGTTGTAAATTTAGCTCTTTCTTCTTTTCTAATATATGCTATAATTTTCCCTGTAATCACTTCTTTTACTGCATCCCACAGATTTTGATAAGTTGTATTTTTACTTTCCCTTAGTTAAAAATACTTTCATTTTTTCTTTAGACTTTTTCTTTGATGCATGCGTTATTTAGAAGTGCATTGTTTGGGGCGCCATTGAAAGTGATTATCGGTATAACTGGGTTAATATCTACCATGTTTGTAACGATCTGCTATTCATTGCACAATTCTTTATTTCTTATTTTATTTTCCCTTTCTTTTTCTGCCTTCTCTGATTTTAACTGAGCATTTTATATGATTCCACTTTCTCTCCTCTCTTAGCATATCAGTTATACTTCTGTTTAAAACCATTTTAGCGGTTGCCCTGGAGTTTGCAATATCCATATACGACTAATGTATGTCCACTTGCAGATAATACTCTGCCGCTTTGCACACAGTGCAGGGACCTTAAAACAAGAGTATTCTCCTTCTTGCTCTCCCATCCCTTATGACTTTGCTGCCCATTAATTCACTTATATCCATATGCTATAAACTCTCAACACACTGCTGCTCTTCTTACTTAGGACACGCTGTTACCTATCAGATCAAGTAAGAATAAGAAAAACACAAGACCTTATTTTACCTTCATTCTCTGCCATTCTTCTTTTTGTTATGAAGATCTGAATTTCTGACCTTTATCACTTTCCTCCTCTCTGAAGAACTTCTTTTAACATTTTGTGTGAGGCAGGTCTACTGGTGACAAATTCCCCCAATATTTGTTTGTCTGCAAAAGTCTATTTCTCCTTCACTTTTAAAGGATAATTTCACTGAATACAGAATTTAGATTGGTGGGGTTTTTTTCTTTCAAGACTTTAAATATTTCACTCCACTCTTCTTGTTTTCATAGTTTGTTGTGAGAAGTCAGATGTAAATTTTATTGTTCCTCTATAAGTAAGGGATTTCTCCTCCATTCTGGCTGGTGCCAAGATTTTTCTCTTTTCTGTTGGTTTTTTGCAGTTTGAACAAGATTTGCCTAGGTGTTAGATTTTGGGGTATTGATTCTGTTGTTGTTCTCTGAACTTCCTTGATCTGTGATTTGGTGTCTGTCATTTGATTTTGGAAAATTGAGAATATTGAAGAGAAAATTGAGAAGGCATTATTGCTTCAAATATTTCTTCTCCATTTTTTCCTTCCTCTTCTGATATTCCCATTATGCATATATTATATCTTTTGTCTTAGATCTTCTTGGTCTTAGATCTTCTGTTCCATTTATGTGTGTGTGTGTGTGTGTGTATTTTTTAAAAAAATTTATTGGTTAAATCCCTATGAACAGAATTGCTAGGTCATGTGGAAAGTGAATGGTTAACTTTAGAGGAGGCTACTAAACTGTTTGTCTAACTGTGATGTTTCCATTTTGATTTACCAGGCACCAGCGTATCCGAACTCCCATTCCGCCACACCCTCACCAGCAACTGGGTATTGTCAGGGGTGGTTTGTTTTTTTTGTTTTTTGTTTTTTTCATTTTAATCATACTAACAGGTTGGTAATGTTGTCTCATGGTGGTTTTAAAAAGCCTTTCTTTAATGATTTTGATCATCTTTCATATACTTATTTGCCATCATCCATTCATCTTTTTTAGTGAAGTGTCTATTCAAATCTTTGCCCATTTGGGGGGTTTCTTTGTTTAAAGCTGAAGGTCAAGAGTTTTTTTAAAATAGATTTATTTATTTATTTTTAGAGAGAGAGCAAGCACAAGCAGGAGGGGCATAGGAAGAAGGAGAGGGAATCCTAAGCGGACTCCAATGTTGGGGGTCGATCTCAAGACCCTGAGATCATGACATGAGCTGAAACCAAGAGTCAGGCACGCAACCACCTGCACCACCAGGTGCCCAACACTCAAGAGTTTTTGTATCGTCTATAAATGTCTTATCAAATACGTGGTTTACAAGTATCTTACCCCAGTTATGTGGCTTCACTTTTTATTTTGTGTTTTCAGCAAAGCAGAAGTAACCAACCGTATTCAGATACATATGTACACACCTCTCTAGGGTGGAGCCTTTGCCAATTTCTTCTTGAGATTATGACAACTTCGGATATACTAACCTGATTAATTGAACTGTTATGGCTTTATATTTATATCATGATCCTTCTCTATCCAGTAATGTTTTTTGCCTAAAAATCAAAAGCTAACTATCTACATAGAATTATAGCCCTTTATATTATAAACATTGTAGTTTAAAGTGTTTTAGAAACAGGGAAGGAACTGTTATATTTGGGCACTTTGTCAGGAATTTAAAGGCTTTGATTCTAGTCTCTTCCACTGCTGAGCTCAAACCTTTGTTAAAAGGTTGCCACATTACTAGAAATGATACCTAGTCCAATTCCAACAGATAGAAATAGACAACTCTGAATTAAACTTTGATAAATGGCATCCCAGAGTTGTCAGATTGGATAATTCAGGCCAAACATCCTCCTGAAAATAACAGATTGAGCAAGAGAAACAAAACTCTTGAATGCACCAAATAGCTAAGAGCCTATTTAGAAAGCCTCAGCCGCCAGTGGGGAGTGGATCGAGTTCAGAGAGGTGAACCATAGCCACTAGAAGACTTACACAGCATTATCAACCACTTCAACATAACTGACATCTGCTCAATACCCCACTTAGCCACAGCAGAACATGCACCATTGTCCAATGCGTGTGACCACATACAAGGCCATAAAAATGTCTCAATACATTTAAAAGGATTGAAATAATGCAAAGTATGGGGTTTCTGGCCACATTAAAATTCAATTAGAAGAATCCACAACAGAAAGAAAAAATTGGTAAGTACCCACATATTTGGAAAATTAAAAAAAAACACTTTTAAATAACCCATGGGCCAAAGAAGAACTTATAGGTGAAATTAGAAAATATCTGAACTGAGTGCAAATGGAAATACAACATATCAGCTAATTTATGGAGTGCAGCTAAAGTAGCACATGAGGGCAAATGTATAGCCATAAAAGGCCTATATGAGAAAACAAGAAGAATCTCAATTCAATCACTGCTTCTGGGTTACTGGATGACCTTGAGCTCTTAGGAGCAAGGTGGTATTTCTCTGGGGTCTGCGTGTCCTCTGTGATGCCCACGGAGGTGGAGCTCTGTTCCTTCTAAACCCAGTAGTCAGACCTGCTCACGTCTCGGCATTCCTCCAGGACCGAACCACCCCAAGATGGTGTGGAGCACAGCACATTCATCTGTCACCCAGTCACCATTCTGGTTCCAAGGCTGCATCTCTCCTCTGGGCTGGTGACGGGGTTTGTCAGTGTTTGCTCCTGAGCCTGCTTCTGGCTGCTTATTTGAATCCTTGCTCTGTGACAGACGACTCCCCAGATGCAGTCCTCAGTCTCTGCAGTCACTAAGGCCTTGGACAAGTTGTTACCGTGTGCGTGGGGACGCATTGCAGAGAGTGAAAGAAAGGAAGAAGTTACATTGTGCAACCGCTAACTAAAAGCTGACATAGCTATACTAACATTGGGGGGGGGGGGTTCAAGACAGAAATGAATGCTGGAAATAACATCTGTTAATTCCTAAAGACGAGGGAAAATGTTACCAAGAAGAAATACAATTAAAAATTTGTATGCTCCATTAATGTGGCCTCAAAATAGTAAAATGGCTTCTTCTTCTTCTTCTTTTTAAGAAGGGTAAAAATCAATAAAGCTGCAAGGAGAAATAGAAAAATCCACAATTGGTGAGAGGTATTAAAACAACTTTCTATTACATAATTAGAACAAAAAGACAAAAAAAATCAAAATATAAAATATTTGAATAACAACTTTGACACAATGGACATTATAGAATACTATAAGTATTGTATCCAACAACTTCCAGTTACAAATTCTTCTCAAATACAGGTGCAATGTTTAGAAAAACCACATCCTAGGCCATAAAGCCAGCTTCAACAAATTTCAGAGGGTTGAAATCTTCCAGAAAATGTTTTCTGACCACAATAAAATAGCTGGAAATCTGTAACAATCCATAACTAGAGTATCCCCTAATGTTTGGAAATTAAGCAACATGTTTTGAAGCAACTATTAGGTCAAAGGAGTCACAATGGACGTTAGAAAATATTTGGAATGGAATGATAATAAATGTTTGAAATATCAAAACTTGCTGGGTCTAGCTAATGCTGTGCTTAGAGGAAAATGTATAGTCACAAAATGCATAGAATTAAAAAAAAAAAGGGGGGGGCGCCTGGGTGGCTCAGATGGTTAAGCGTCTGCCTTCGGCTCAGGTCATGATCCCAGGGTCCTGGGATCGAGTCCCGCATCAGGCTCCCTGCTCAGTGGGGAGCCTGCTTCTCCCTCTGCCTCTCTCTCTCTCTGTCTCTTATGAATAAATAAAAAATCTTAAAAAAAATAATAATAAATAAATAAATAAATAAATAAAAAGTTGAAAGTCAGTGATCTAAGTGTTCACTTAAGGAAACCGGAAGACCCTTAGTTGAACCAAGGCAGTGGTCACCCCGATGCACTGAGGCAGTGTCTTTGTGTATCTTCTATGTGTGTTTCAGGCTAGTCCCTTGGGGGAGCCCTCACAGAGAACAGGGTGGACATCTCATTCTGAAAGGCAAACACTTCCTGGTCCCTGTTTGTTGTCTCCACTTGCCATGAGGGGATGTGAAAACTTCTGTGTACCAGAGTGGAGAGTGTAAGAAAAGACCCTCTAGGATGTCTGCATGACGTGGCGTGGGCATATGAATATTTGGATATAAAATCATGGGAGCATCTAACTTCAGGGCAGTGAAGAAGCAGTGTGGCATGAAGTGCAGAGGATACTGGCCACATGGCTTCTCAGTGGGGGTGTATTGTGTTCCCCTGGGCTAAGGATGCACAGTAGGGCATAAGCCATCGACTATGACCGTGCATGGCTGCTCAGTGCCTGGGAGTCAGGAGCTGACGTGGGGCGCAGAGGAAGGAGTGGGGGCCAATACCTCTGTAATGTGAGCATTTGCCCCTCCTAAGCATTAATCAGCATCCTTCAGAAAGCACAGATGGGCCCTTCCTTGCCTGCCTATCCTATACCTTTGCAAATACCTAGGTTCAGTCAGTTCTGCCCACCCAACTCCGCTTTGCCCCCACTCCTGATACACACACTCACACCCATCCCACATTCCTCTCCCCTGTTATAAAGGACCAACTGCCCGTAACAATGGAGTCAACACAAGTTACAATGAAGAACAGGATGAGAAATCCTATGCATTCCAGAGCCACCTCCAACCTGAGGACGAATTTGTAGGATTGCCCCCTCTCCCCAGCACTGTGCACACATGGTGTGCCTGCCTCCTCCGTGGCTGGGGGCATTAGGAGAAATCTCTTCTTTCAACATCCCTCCCTCCCTCCCCCAACACCTGCAAATATCAAAGAGGGCCAGAGAGAATGGGCTTGTCTTTAAAGGTGGAATACTGATTAGGGGGTGGGAGGTGACCACATTTAGCAAATAAAAACTTAGGACTCTCAGTTAAATTTGAACTACAAAGAAACACCAAATAATTTTTTAGTATAAGTGTGTCCCCAATTTTTTTTTTAAGAGAGAGAGAGAGTGAGAGTGAGTGGTAGTGAGAGGCAGAGAGAGAGAAACTCAAGCAGGCTCCACGCCCAGCATGGAGCCCCACACAGGGCTCCATCCCCCAACCTTGAGATCGTGACCTCAGCTGAAATCAAGAGTCGGATGCTCAATGACTGAGCCACGTAGGCACCCCAAGTGTGTCCCAATTTTATACTAAAACGTTATTTGTTGTTTCTCTGAAATTCAGATTTAATTCAGCATCTAGTGAGTTTTCTCGGAACCCTAATTATAGGAGAGGAGGAGTTGGAGTCAGGGGATTCTTCATCTTCTCCTGGAACTAAAGGTTAACTTGGAAGCTACGGGCTAAGTGGTGCCTCCTGGATAGGGGATCTGGGAGAGGGACCCGAGCTTCTGGGTGCCCCTGGCCTTTCACAGGGTCCCGACTTAGCAGCCGTGGCTCGGTGCCCCTGGTGCAGCCCGCGCCCACCCCGTGGCCTCGCAAGGGCAGCACATCCTTCCCCCTGGCCCAGTTCAGGCTGAGGATGGGGGTGGCATGCTCAAGGTAACACACAAACACAGGCATGATGTGCAAAAACACAGACATTTTGACTTTAATAAGTTATAAAATCAGGAAGCCAAATTTTCTATACAGAAAACAAATGTGTCGATGGCTGTGATCAGTGAGATAAAATGATGTGATTTGAGTTCAGCACCATGATGATTCCTGTGGCGGCTGCCTGGCATTTGGGGGTACAGAGTCCTCAGGCTTCATCTCGAAGGAATGCTGCTGAGCACCATTTATAGACGCCAAACAAACAAACAACCTTAAAATACAAACAGAAGGGTTATACGGGAAATTCCATGGGTTTTCCAAAAGGAGATCAGAGAGCCGGGTCCCCAACCCCAGCAGGAGTGTCCCCACAAACACAATTTTCTGAAGCCGCAAACAGAGAGCTCTGAGTCTCGACAATGGTGCTCCAGAACCTCAGCTAGAAAACCTCCTTGGCCTCCAGCTGCAGGGGCCTCCAGACACGGAAGCTCTGGAAGCCCAGGACTGTTGCTAAGTTGGCTCTCCCACCGGTCCCGAGCTCAGTGGGGATTAGCAGTCCCTCAGAGTCTGGTAAACCCTGTGTTCCTTAGACAGAGAGACCTCCGAGGACCATCGGGTTCTAGAGAGCTCTGTGGCTATATGGCCCCAGGCACTGAGTATGATCTATGGGACGGTGGCCATGCTGGCCTACAGTTCCCAGACGGCATCTCTCTCCTTCCAGAAGAAGACAGGTAACCCTGGGTATGTCCCACCTGGGGCTTCTCCCTGAAGCCTTCCAGCCCCCAAGACAAGCAGCCCTGCTTCGCTGGGATCTGGGGATGGAGTGTTTCCATCCTGAGGCCCCCCAGGCTGGGTAAACTGAGTAATACTCTCTGGGTAGGGTCAGTCACCCTGAGCGCCCTTTTATTCCAGGGTAGACCCAAGCAAGAACTGCCCAGTCCTTCAGCCCGTGAATAGCACCATGGGTTCAACCAGTAGGGAAAGGCGAGGCATCCATTTCCTGATCAGAGAGAGACAGAATTGCAAAAGTGCTGTAGACCACATCTGTTAAAAGAAGTGATACTATGAGAGATAGTATCCTCCAGTTTGCTTCTTAAGAGCAAGCAAGCTCCGTTGAGACACCAGGACATGCATGAGTATGTGGGGGATGTGATGGCAGAGGGGAGGGAGGCCGCCAGGCCAGGCGGGGGTGACAGGAAGCTAGTTATCACCCAGTGGGAACGCTATCCCAGATAGCGTTTTCTCTGGTTCCTACACCCTCACTTTGTCCCTTAGATCACACACAGACACACACCCACACTCATGCACGGATCAGACAAACCTGCTTAGCACCTCCAACTCAGTATAAAGTAGCCATCATGGTATTATCCTGAACCTCAGTGTTCCCATCCACAGAATGGGGAGTTAAACCGGAAAGAGCTCTCTAAAATCTATGACTGGTGAGAATACAAAGGCTCTAGAACTTTCCTAGACACAGAAAGCTTAAGAATTATGTGTGAGGCCAGGCCCAGCTAAGCAGCTAAAGTGCCCCTGGGTCTTGTAACTTGGGGAAGTTGAGGCTACGTGTTCACAAAATATCCATGCAGGGAGGGGTAAAAATTAGCCGCCGTCCTCCCGTCCATGCCCACTCCCTTCCTGTTTCTCTCTCATTCACATCTTGCTCATAAAGCACCATTCTGCCGAAAACAGAAGTTGTAGAAGTTTGGGAACGGCCAAAGATAAAGCAGGTTCTCCCCACCTCCCACCTTGTGCTTCCCACTGGAGGCCAGATCTCACAGCTCCCTGCTGGGACTTCCAAGGCACGGAAGGGGGCTCCCCAGGGCTAGACAGGGCAAGGGCACCCCCACAAGCAAAGCTGGTCTCCAGGAGGCAGCCCGAGCTTGCAGAGCCCCATCTCAGAACCCCAAGCACGGCCACCATGGTGACGGCACCCCCTCCCACCCCACGGGGAGAGTCACGGGCCTTGCACACGGGCCAAGGCTCACGGAGACAAGAGAGGCCTGGGAGAGCCTGGAGTGCACCCCTCTGTCTCCTCCTGGAGGAAACGTGGCCCACTGTCTAGATCTATCAAGTCCCAGCACCTTCCCGGGAAGGAGCGACAGCTTCACAGCTCAGTCTGGGCTGAGTCGAACACCAGGCATGAGCACCCAATGGGCCAGGTGGCTTTTCTGAAGTCCTTCCTCCGAGAGGCTGCATCCGGCCAGGCCTGGAGACCAGAGGCTGCAGCCTGGGGGTTCTAGACCCTAACAGACCTTCCAGACCCCCCGACATTCTGAGTTGAAGTTTAAGGATTGAGGATTGTCGCAGGCAAAGCTAGACTGCTACTGAAAGCACATTATCTGGCAGCAGGGGCCGGCCCCCCCAGAGGCAGCAACGGCCAGAGCCCGCAAGCAGCTCTAGCACGGTGTGCCTCTCAGGTCGGTCGCGGTCCCCAGCGGGCGGCCACGCTCATCCTCACCACCTGCCTGGCCCTTGGAGTCATTGGCATTCAAGTTCACGGCCTCCATCGTGCGCATCTTAGTGATGGGTCGATTAGCAAATAAATCACTGTTTCTCCTAGGAGTGCCCATGGGGCTCGAGCCTCAGTCTGGAGACAGGTAGGAAACGTCCCGCGGCTCCAGAAGGGTGGTCACGGCCAAGGAAAGGAAGATGGCCAATCACTGCTCAGGAACTCGGGGACACGTGTCTCCTCTCTCTGAGTTAGCCTCCTGCCCCCCCCGCCCACTGATGGCACTCGCAGAACCTCTATATTCCTCTCCACCCTCCACCCGGCCCCAGCATGAGACTTAGAACATTCCAGAGCTGGGGCACAAACACATGTGTGAAGCTGGCTGCCACATGCTCACAACCATATGCATAGATGTTTATGTCACTCTCCCTCTCTGTTTTCTCAAAACCCTTTTGGAATCAGAATTTTTTCCTTCATCTCCACGATTTGCCATCCCATGGAATATATCTATAAGCAAGGGGAAAAAAAATGCTATGGATGCTATCTTTCCATTTTATTAGAACTTCCCGAGCATCTCTTTCTTCCTCATCTCATCAATGAGCTCTTGGATTCTCTGGTTTCTGGTCTTTTCGTACAGGCTCGGTCGTCGCGGGATCAGGTTGGGCGGCTGGACCTCCTCGTCCAGGCTGCTGATTTTGTAGGGCACGTCGACAGCGTTGGTGTCTGGGTGGTCCTCGGTGCTGTTGGTGCTGGAGACATTGAGGGGCGCCCGCGGGGGCGTGCCTGGCGCAGGCTGCACCTCCATGACGAGGGTGGGCACCAGGAGGGTGGGCATGAGCTCTTCAATGTCGTTGAGCTTCCCGGGTGGCGGCTCGGCCCCGTCGTCCACCTCAGTGAGGTTGTCGTGCAGGTTACAAGACTTGCAGCACAGCTTCTGGTAGCCTGGGATGGAGCAATAGCGAGACAAGACTTCCATCCTACAGAACATTGACTTGTCACCCTGGCAGCGGCCCTCTGAAAGAGAAAAGTGGGACAAATAACCAAAGGACAGGGTAAGGGGGGCCTGGTTCCCCCACAGGAAGCAGGAGGAGGCGTGTGGAAGAGCCCAGAGACGGCAGAGCGGCAAAACGAGCTCACGTGGGAAAGTCTGTGTGGTTCTGACGTCAGAGCAGCCCCGGAGCACGGAGCTCCCACACAAGCTGTGAGCAATGCTCCCCGCCTCCAGGCAGGCCCCCAGGGTTTTCTGTATCTCTCAAAGTCTGAGACAGACATGAGGCGTGTCTGTTCTTAGGGAGTGATTCCAGCTCGTCTTAAAGAATGGGACTTTGTCCGATTCCTACTTGATGTCCCAGTGGTAACCCCCATGAAATCCTGTGATGGACTTTGGCCCTATAATAACCTATAAGCAGTAATGATGACAAACTGAACCTGAAGAAACCGATTCCTACAACCTGATAGAACCCATGCCAGAGCCTTGGTGGTGGTGACACCGCGTGCCCCCACGGTACGTTCCCATCCTCACCCGAACTTCTCTGGGCTTGCTTTCCCTTGCCCCACTTACCGCACAGCCCACCACACTGAGCTCCTGCCCAGCCCCCCACAGACTGCTCCCTAACCTGGTGCCTTCACAGAGGCTCACGCTCCTCCCCTGTCCTTCCCGTCCAAGAAGCTGGCCGCCCGCGGTCTAGCCTGCATGGCCCCCGGAGAGGCCGGTGTCTCTGCCCGCACAGCTGCCCTCCTCGGGGCCCAGCTCCAGCTCTGTCTGCAGCTGCATCAAAGGGGACCCTTGAACTCCACGGGTGTGAGGGGCGCCAAGCCCCCGCGCCGTTGAAAATCCACATCTAACTTTTGACTCCCCCCAGACTTAACTACTAATAGTCTACTTTGCCGGGAAGCCTTACCAATCCCGTGAACGGTCGGTTACCACCGATTCTGTATGGTGAGCGTATTATACACTGTATTCTTACAATAAAGTAAGCTAGAGAAGAGAAAATGCTATTAGGAAAATCGTAAGGGAGCACCGTGCTGTATCTATCGAAAGAGTCCCCCATGGGACTGGGCCGGTGCGGTTCGGACCTGTGTGGGTCAAGGTCAACTACAGTCCCACCCACACAACCCTGTCTTGTTCTTGTCCTTACTCCCCTTCACTGTCTTCTTGCCGAGGTCCCACCCTCTTCCCTGCCCTCCACCACCTCATCCCACACACAACACGAAAATTGAGAGGACTTACAAGAACTCACTCGACAGGAAAGAGTAAGTCATGTGACAGCACAGCAGGGGACACCAGACCCCTTGTAAAGTCCCCATCACCCGTCTCAGTGGACCCCCACCACCTACTGTGTCTCGCTCAGCTACCCTCTGCTGTCCCAGCCAGCATCCCCTCCCTCCCCCTCCGTGACCTCCTCTTCTCCTGAAGGGCAGGAAGGATTCAGGTGGGAAGGAAGGGGCAGCCGGGGTGGAAGCCACGTCTGACGCAGTTACGCTGTCTGCCAACAGGGGCCGCGGGCCACATCCTCGCCTGCAGCTCTGCTGGCCCACAGAAACTTCCCGCAGCTACAGACAGCAGGTCCCCTCCATTCAGGAGGTTCTGACGGTGCCCGCCGCCTGCCCACTGCTCCAGCCTGTCGTCTGCCCCTCCAGGCTGGTGGAGCCCTTGGTTGGACACCCACCCCAAGCCCCTGGAGCTTCAGCCTCTCGGACACAACTGCCTACTAGACAGGCCCCTGACCCCCGTGGGCCCCAGCGTGCCTGAGACTCTGCACGTCCGGTGCAAGCCCAGGGCCTCTGATGGACCACCTGTCTCGGAGAAGGGGCTCTCCAGCGCACAAAGCCAAATCCCAGGCGCCCCCCCATCCATTCACCCCCAGTCTGTCAGTATCTCCTCCTAGATGCTCTCGGGTATGTCTGTGTTCCCTCTCTCCCACCTGCGTGGGGTCAACTGCTTTGCCTCTTGTCTGCACCGTGCTAAGAGCCTCCCTTCTGCTTGCCTATCTCAATTATTTCTCTTTCTTGTCCACTATCCTGCTCCAGTCAGAATGCTGTTTTTCAACTGAAGATGTGACCATGTCACTGTCGTGATTGAAGCCCCTGCACTGCCCCTCGTTGTTTGCAGGGTGAGGACCTGTCCCCCTTAACCTCTCTAGCTTCACTCCGTCTGGCCTTAGACCCCCTACTTTATCCTGTGCTCCCTCTGGCCCCAGGGCCTTTGCACATACCATGCCCACTTCTTCTGTCTTCCTTCAGTTGCTCTCCTCTCCTCCTCTAGGCTCAGCTGAAACACATCTTCAGGCAAGCATCGCCTACCCTCCCTTGGGAGGCCCTCCCGTTCCCAGCACTCTATCCCAGTTGGCAAGTTCACACTTAATTGTCAGATAGTTGTCTGACCTACAGACCAGGTGGAATGGTCTTGTTTGAAGCTCGGGGTGCTCAGAGCCCCACTGCTCCCTTTCCCACTCCCTGGCCCTTCTCCCTTTCTGGCAGCCTCCAGGCGAGCCGTGTGAAAACCACTGAGGCCTCGGCAAGACAAGGATGGAGCCTGGGCTGCTGGTGCCGAGGGCAGCGGGGCCACCCCAGCTACAGAGCAGCGACCTCCCCCCACCTGTGCCTTCTCCTTCACACAAATACCAAGACTGCCGGCAAACCTCTCCCTCACTCCTCTCCCCCGGGCTGGGACCCTGGGAGCCAGGCATCCCATTGGTAGAGGGCAGGGGTCACCCGACGGCGCCCGTGGGCCGAGTCTGCACCTCCACCTGGTTTCAAAAAGAAGATTTAACTGGCCCTTTGCAGAAAGCTTGGGGACCTGTGGTTGGGTGCCCGGGCGCCGAGCCTGACATAGAAAGCACCCGACACATGTCCGTGAATACATGGGCGAGTCAGGAGGAATAGTCCATGTATCATCTACGTTTTTTAAAAGTGAGAATGAAGGAATGAAGAAAGAATTAAGGCAGTCACGGGCCAAGAGCCTGGCTACGGTATTACCAGCCGAGGCAAATTTCGAAATCATCATTCCTGACCACTCTTAAGGCTGCGTGTTTTTGAGTTTTAGCGCCGAGCAGAGAGCCTTCCGAGAGGAAGGGCTACCACCAAGGGGCCCACGACGTGTCCGGAGGCAGCGGCTGGCGGAGGGTCCCTACACCCAGAGAAAAATTCCGCCTTCCTAATACTTGCCCTTCAGCCGTTCCCGGGAGCAATGACCTAGCAAGACCTACTCCCTTCCAGCAAGCAACAAACCACTGACAGCAAACCATTCTCATCAACTGAAGCCGTTCGTGAGCGCTTCCCACCATCTTGGCTCCAGCCAAACACCACCTGTGGTCTCTTTTGCCCACTAGTTTCCTCCTTTAAAGGAACTTTTTTTTTTAACTTAAAATTTATTTTAGAAGAAAACTTTACACTACCAGCATTCATAGGAAAGGGGTGGCAGTCAATAAAGGCAACCCTAACCGGGAACGCAAAGACACATTTTAAGTCGACGCTTAATCCCTCAAACTCCAGGGAGACAGCCCCGCCCGCAGAGCTCCAAGCCGCAGAGAAACCAGCGAGCGTGAGGGAGATGGCCACACCCCTGCCCAGTGAGGCCTCCCCTCCAGGTGCCACGAAGGGGACAGGGAACTAGGAAGGGACTGCTGGGGGGAGCTCAGGCCATGTTTATGCACCACCTGAAGCCTCCCCGTCTCCCACCACGCTTCGGGAAAGGCGGGAAGGGGCGAACCCGGTTCTCTTTTCCCAGTCGAGCCCCACGCAGCATTTCACCATCCCAAGGTTGGGCCACAGGGTAAGGAAGCACGGGACCCCCGTTGGCCCGCGGCCTGGGGCTCCCTGGCTGTCCCCGGGTGTCGGGAGCCCCTTCAGCGGGGGCTCCTTCTGATCCTTCCAGGGAGGGACACTGCATGGGTGCAGCTCTGTCAGGGGAAGTTGTCTGGGTCTCCTGTGTCTCCTCAATGACCAGAGCTCCGAGCAGGGTGAACCCAGCCACACTACCGTGCCCCCACACTTGCAGGAAGGCACCCGGGGCCCGGCCCCGTGCCCCGAAGCCTGTCTCCGTGACGCTGGGTGGCCCCACGGCGTCCTTGCTCACCATCTCCCTCCTCCCTGGCACGGGATCACAGAAAAGGCAGGAGAGAGAAGCCCACCGCGGGAGGGCCCTGTTGGGCCCTGACCTGCTGTCTGGTCCTGGTCAGCGAGGCGAGGGAACACACCAGGCCCAGTGGCTTCTGAGGTGAGGCCTCGGGGGACACGGGCAGGTGCCAATGAGCACGCGCTCACGTGAACGCACAGGCCAGGTGGCCAGGGCAACGGCTGCCATGCCTTTCTCCTGACCCAGACCCCCAACCTGGGCCAGGTGGGCACCTCTCCCTCCCGGAACAGGTCACCTAAGGCTGAGAGCTGTGCCAGCAGCCAGGGCGGTGGCCCGATGGTGGCTCAGGGCACGGTGACCTGGACCAGCACCGTCTGGGCTCCTGACCCCACATTCCCACCCCACTGATCCCAGAGACGGGGAGAAAGCCACCCCCGGGGCCCTTTCCCTGACGCTGAAGCCTCCATGCGTGAGGGGAGAACCCAGACGGTCCCGCGAGGGGCTCGTATAGCAGGAAGGAATCGAAAGTCAAAGTCACGGGGGAGTGTCTCCCCGCGCTGATGTCCCATTCTGAACAATGCCTGGGGGGGGGGGTACGTCCCGCAGTGGGGGAGGGGCCTGCATAGCCACACTGGGCAGGGGGGCGGGGGCGTGGGGGGCGGCAGGCCTTCGAAGCAGAAACCCAGGCACTAATCTGACAGAAGGGTCCCCGCAGCGCCACCGGCCGCGGAGGTGAAGAGAAGGAGCCAGCCGCGGGCCGCACCCGAGCACCCAGTTTCACGGAACTTTTATTGACTTTATTTGTGGGATGCATGACAGGAAGTCTTTCCATCGCTAGTGAGGAGAAAAGGTCATTTCCACGGTCACTTTGGCACACACTAACGTTGTCTCATTAAAAAAACCGGAAAAGCGACGACAATGGAACCTAGGTTACGTCATTGGATACATACAAAACACTAACAAAATATCCCTGATAAACCAAAGTGCATATAGACAGAGAGCACGATGCCCAGGACCGCACCGGCCCTTCCCGGGGCAGAGTCGCTCGCGCGGCCTAGTCGGAGTCGGAAGTTAACAGTCGGAGAAGTACGCGTTACACACCGAGTATTTACATAACAGTAGTCAGAGCCGGGGAGGAGGCAGCCCGAGCGGGTAGCAGGGGGCGGGGCGCGGCGGGGCGGGGGGGCTCAGCAAACAGTCAGCGCCGACTGGCTGCACGGCCTCGGAGGGGGTCTGCTGTCCCCAGAGCAGAGCGGGCTGGAGCGTGCACGCCGGGGGCGCCCCCTGGGCCGACGCCGCCCGCCTCCTACCTGGGGCACAACCCCGCTCTGAGGCTGGAGTTCGCAGCCAGTTCTGTTACCTTTCAACTTTAAGGCATTTTCTACATAGTTTTATCTAAGCAAAAAAAGCAATAAAAATTGAGGTAATTCTGTAGTTGTCCACACTGGGAGGTGGCCGCATCCACATCAGTCTCTCTCTCTCTCTCTCTCTCACCTCTACGGATGGGGTCACGTGCGCACGATGACAGAAGGCCATTGCAGCTAATGGACACAGAGTGAAGTGGTGGTGTGTCCCCACGTCCCACTGGAGGGACACGTCCCCTGCCGCCTCCGTGTGACCCAACCCCCCCGAGGGGACGGGGCACGGAGGCCAAGGGCTGTGGGAGTTGGACGCAAAGGCCACAGGAAGCAGGCCACAGTCGCACGAGTCAGGAGGACACACTGAGCACAGGGTCAGCAGCAGCAGCGACAGGAGGGGCGGCCGGGGAGCCCCCATGCACCCCTGGAATCTCGGGGCGGCAGCACAACTCTGCACCCCAGACCCCCTCTGGCCTCGCCTCGCGGGTGGGCGGCGTCCGAAAGGGGACCGGCGGGTTTCCCCCTTGACTTCCGACCTGCAGCTCCAGCTTGGAGGGATGTGGCCCCGAGAGGTGGTCACCAAGTGGTCACATGTGCACTCTGGCCTCCGGCCCCTCCAGCACCCAGACAGATCTTTGCCCCTTCACACGCCATCACCAACCAGGTCCCGGCCCCCCACCAGAGGCCAGTGCCCAGGGCCACGCCTCAGCGAGGCGGGCCCTCCCGGCCAGGCAGCCGGGGCAGCTCCAAAGGAGACGGCCGAGCACAGAGGCCCGGGAGAAATCAGATTCAACCGAAAGAGCGCTCAGGAAGAGTCAGGGAAGTTTTCCATAGAAAGAGAGGAGGGGAGCCCACGGCAAGCTCCACAGGGCGCAGGGCATGCACTGGAGGGCAGAGGCAGAGTTATAAACGGGCCGGTTACTTGACGAGGTCTTCTGGACTGGTGAGTCGGGGTCCGGTCGGGACAGCCACTGAACCACGTAGCTCTTCTTGGAAGGATCGGAGATGTTTCCTAGAGGGGAGAGGAAGGGCTGTGGTGGCTGAGGCCCCACACTGGGCCGGCACCCACCGCCCGCCCCAAGCATTCGGGGCCAGAAGGAGGGCCCCGACCCCCCGGTGTGGTGCTCGAGAACCCTCAGACCAGAGGGGCCCCGGCGGCCCAGGCCAAGCCCACCTCCGGCCTCTCCCCGACCGCCCACCACGCCTCCTGCGTCTCAGCTACTCACTACCCAGCACCCCACCCTGCCTGCTCCCCAGGAACGTGGGGAGCAAGTGAATTCTGGCTCTGTCCCCCTGCCCGGCTGGGTGGGCACATCTGATCTCCCTGAACGCCCTCCTTTGGAGATGGGATTCACAGTGGGGTCCACATCGTGAGCTTTCTCTGGGACCAAAAGGTGTCTGTGTGCAGACGGTGCGCTGGTTGTTCTCCTCAGAGGGCACTAGGCACCCCCTCCTCGCATGGGTACCCCCGACTCGCACAGACACCCCCTGCTTGTACGGACCTGGACACCCCATCTGGCGGAGCCCCGCCACGCAGTCACCGTGAACCTGCTTCTGTCTCCCAGACCACCGGGGAGGGGCCAGGAAGGCGGTCAGGGCTGAGTTCCCTCCATTTCCCACCAGGGAAAGGTCCCAGCCCTCAGCGTCTCCTTCCAGGTCACAGATGCTGAGTCCAAACCAGCCCACCTCACCCTGGGCCCGCTGTACACTGGGGGCTGGGGACTGGGGGCCGCAGAGGGCTTACGGGGACAGGAGCCCAGCCTGCAGATCCTGGCCGTCTCGGGCCTCTCCTCCCGGCAGATCCCGAAGCTGTCATCCGCGGTTCGGCAGAGCACGGGCCGCTCCTGGGTGCCGTTTCCACAGGTCACCGAGCACTGCAGGTGGAGAGTCACCAGTCGGGGCCGGCCTCCCGTGGTCAGCCGGGCCCGAAAGAGCTCCCCACGCACGTGACCCGATAACACGTGGAAGGTGGTGAGGGGCAGAGGGCAGAGTACGTGCCAGAGGCCGGGGCTGCCTTGCCCAGCCTCGGGCGGCCACCTCAATCTCCTGAGGCTCTGAAGAGGGGACGCACAGGCCTATCTCTCTGAGTTACTACGAGTTAGAGCAAACGTACAGGGTCTGAACTTCCAGGTTCTCAACGAGCAGCTCCTTTCTCTGGCCAAAGGAAGCTTACCCAGGGCCCGGAGAACCTGCTGTGCGCTGGGGGCCGCTGGAAAAGTTCTAACCGAGCCCAGGAGGTTTTGGCAGAGGACCCCTGCACCCAAGGCCCTATGCCACCAGCCTCCTACTGGCCCCTCCAGCCTGGCGCCCCCTCTGCCTCACCGCATGGGGCCCAAAGCCATCACACCCACACGCCTGGCTCGGCTCACGGCTTGGCCCAGCCCCGCCGGGAGAATTCCCAAGTCCTCACCTTACATAGAGCAGGAAAGGGTGGACTCAGCAGTCCCGGGCTGCTCAAACCCTACAGAGCCCCAAGGAAGGCCCGCTTTCAGGACTGGCATTTGGGAAGCTCATGCCTCCTCAGGCATGCAGGAACACTCTCCACAAGCTTGGAATGTTCTGTCTGGGGAGAGTGTTTCTGCATGCCTGAGGCCCCGAGTCACACTGCACCAGTCTGTCCAGTTAGTTTGTACCAACAGTGTGCTTGACGGTGAGCATCTGCCTCCCCCCGGGGGGGGCCTGGAGCTTCGGTAACTAGAGTCGGGCACACACAGAAGTCCGTGGACACCCAGGCTCACGGGGGCTCCCCTGGATGGCAGCATCTCATGCACACCGTCCCACGCTCCTGCTGAGAGAACCAAGTGCATCCCTGGAACCTCACCAGGAGGGGACACCTGGAAGCTCGTGCCCGGCTTCCTCTGGGCTTGGCCGTGCGCCTTCCCCCCCATGCTGATTCTACCCTGTGCTTTCGCTGAAATACACTGTGAGTACGATGACGTCTGAGCCCTGCGAGTCTTTCCGGTGAATCACTGAGCCTGAGGCTGGTCTTGGGGACCCCGACCCTCCAGGCCCGTGAGCTGGATGTCAGCGCTCATGTCAGCTCAGCCCTGGCCCTGGACTGCCGCTCCGGCTCCTGAGACCATCCTCACGATTCTCTCCAGCCCCAGTCCAAACCCTCCCTGGCCCTTGTTCCCTCCTGCCAACTTGGCCGGCCTTCCAGACCACCCCTCTGCCACGACTGGGTCTCCCACGACTCCAGGCTCCTGTAGCACACGGCAGCCTCGGCCCCGCAGAGTGAAGACCCGTTCCACTGGTCTCTCAACAGAGCAGGGACCGTGTGGCACGCCCCGTGCCCGGAGACCCACAGGATGTGGCCGGGGCCGGGAACTGCAGCCAGACCCAGCGAACACTCTGACCACCTCGGTCCCGCCCAAGCTGGCTTTGGGGGCTGAGGCCGCGAGGCCAGGGGGCCAGGGGGACCGCTCACCTGGGACCAGGGCCCAGCCCGCCACCGCCCGGGGCAGAGCTCACGGTTGCAGGCCCGGCGGCCCTCGGGCCGGGCGTCGTTGCAATGCTTGGTGTGCACGGAGCGGGTGGTGTTGTTGTGCAGGGACTGTACGCAGCGCACGGAGCGAGCCTGCGTGCCCGTCCGCCCGCAGCTCTGGCTGCAAGGCTCCCATTCACCTGTGACCCACCTGTGGGGGCAGAGCAACAGGTCAGCCCCCTGGAGAGCCGGCTGGCCTGGCTGTGGCCCAGGGGTGCAGAGAGAGGCAGCCTATTCTCGTCCCCTATCCTCATGAAGACAGCCTAGAACCTGGCAGGGCTCTGTCCGAGGGGCTGCAGGTGACAGTTCCAGCGCGGGGGGGCCTGGGTGGGGTGGGGGGCATGGAGAGCCCTGGCTATCTGTCCCCTCGGCGGCTGCTGATGTCACAGACCCTTCGGGGCGGCCGGGTGGACTCCCTCAGCCCCCACGGGCCTACGTACCAACCCCCCTCCCCGTTCAGGGCCCTGCAAAAGGAAACTGGGCCCCGAAATGCAGCCCTGCCAAAGCCCTGGGCTGGAGGGGCAAGGCTGCTGCTGCCACAACGAGCGGCCTGGGGAACATCTGCCACAGGACCCAGAGCAGGCCGGTCCCCGCCGAGCCTCAGTTTCCCCATCTGGGCTTTAGCACGTGTCCTCACCCCTAAGATGCACAGGACTATCTCAGTGCAGCAGGTGCGAAGTGGGGCTCACCGCACAGCCTGTGGGGTCTCAGACTCCATGACATGTGCTGAGGGAGAGAGAACCCACCCCACGTGGCATGGGATGCGAGGCCTGGAGCCACGCAGGGACTAGAGCCCACACCTGCCTCCCCAGGAGCCCCGGGGGTCTGCCTTCCCTTGTCTCTTGGGACCCCAGGCTGGGGCTGGGGGAGCTGGGCAGCCCCGGGCACTCACACTGGCTGGGAGCACTCCTGTGGGTTGCAAGCCCGACGGATGGCTTTGGGCTTCGTGAGGGCGTCACAGAAGTCTCGGTGCACCATCTTGTGGTCCAGCCTCCGGCGGCAGCCATACTTGGTGAACTGGGAGCCTGAAGATGAGAGCTCGAGGGGGCTCATGGGGCAGTGTGGCCCCTCCAGGGGGGCATGGGGAAGCGGCTCCATGGGCAGCTTCAGCCCCTTTCTCCCAAGCCTTCTGATGGGGTGGGAGGGGGGGCCGTGTGCCAGGGCTGGGCCTTGGAGATGACCAGCCTCACGTCCACCCAGCACCCCAAGCCCAGCGAGGTGGGAGGCCGGGGAGAGTGGCCACCTTGTTCCCTGGCCCCTCAGCTGGCTTCCTGGGGCAGAAACATGGCCTACAAGGCTCCTCCCACTAGAGGCTAAGGCAGCTGTTCTCAGCTGGGGGTGATTTTGACATCAGGCAATATATGGGACACTTAGCTGTCACAGCTCAGGGTTGGGGGCTGCCGCTTGCATCTAGCAGGTAGAGGCCGGGGATGCTGCTCAACATCCTACAATGCACGGGACAACCCCCACAAAAATTAGAGAATTATGGAGCCCAGTATGTCAACAACTCCAAGGTCTCTAAACCCCAGGCTAGTGGGCGAGACATGAGACAATGTGGACGGACAGCCTGATCTAATCTGGGTGTCTGGAGATGTCTTCGAAGGCAGAGAATGGAGGGACGCTGGTGTAGTGGGGAGGCAGTAGTGTGGCTCCCAGGGAGGAGACAGCCTGTGCAAAGGCCCTGAGGCGGGAGCACGGCATGTCCAGGCCAGAGACAGCCTGTGCAAAGGCCCTGAGGCGGGAGCACGGCATGTC